CTAGCAACAAAACATTGGTGAAACGAGATTCTTTTTGCGTTACCAAACTAGAGACACAAACGCGGAGAAAACGTGATGAAAGCATTTTATTTTTGGGATAGAAAGTTGGTTGATATTTCTTTGTTTTTTGGACTACGTTTTAATAACATCATCTGAATTATTCAGTTATCACCACCAGGGTTGGAGCGTCAATGTTAGCCGTGTTACCCTGGCTGACACTTTTAAAAACGAGAAATAAAGAGTTTCATGTCTTAATCTCGTGGTTCATTGGTACTCCGTACACCGGAACTCAACAGAACCGATCAGATAAAATTCGTCAAATGTAAGCCGAAACTATGTGGCTAACAACGTCTGTCTGTCTGCAGTAGGCCAACGACGAATTGTCAGCCAGGGTAAAACGGCTAACATGAACGCCGCGCCTCTGTGTGTAAAGCTGTTACAGAACTCAGATTTCTTTAAGTCTTTGAGAAATCAAAACATGAGTGTATGAGACGTCAGTGTTTAATTTCCTAGAATGTAACAATATAATTATTATACAACCGGTTAAGAAATGCTCGGAATCCCAGACTATTATTCCATTTGTCCAATCGCTACGCGGTGTTCATTTTTAAAAGCAGAGAAAGCAAGTTGGCAACGATTTATAATGTAGAATCGATTCGATGAAATGTTGAAAAGTTTCAGTGCAACCTTCTAACGTCTACTTGTTTATTATCTACGTGTTTCTGGAGGAAAAAATTGCTTACATATATTTTTGAAAGTACAGCAGCTTTGTAAATGCCATTTCTTTAACGACGTCTCTCGTAACATGATTCTACGTTTAGCAAAGTGTCGAAACGCGTTCACGCTTCAAGATGTTTCCTGAATCTGCTGTGACGTCATAATGTCTTTCATGGTGTTCATAAATAAATTTTAATATAGTGCTTTCTCCCAGGAAACATATTTTGTTATTTTAATCTCATGGAAATAATTACACGTAAGAGAGAGTAAGTAGCAAGGATCTTGAACAATTGCAAAATTGTTTAAATAAAAACGTCATAATTTACGTAATTCATAGAATATTATTGACTAGCTGTGAGACTATCAGCTTCTAGCGAAAGACTCCTGAAACTGCTATGCTTGAGTCGGTAAAGTAGTATCCGACTTAACTTATTATACAGTATAAAAATTGCCGTTTACTTGAAAAATAAATATATTTTTTAGTTTGTGTATGTGATGAATAGTAGATTTTTCTAGTTCCCCTTGTCTCTTTGAGTTGTAAAATTCCGTTTGATCTATGAGGCTCAGTGCCAATGCGTACCCTATTATTTTATCCCACGTTTGATCACAGTTTGACAAAAGTTCGATGTCACGAAGTGGTTCTTGAATGTCAGACCGGGAATAAATCCGGCGAGTTGTAATTCGTCATTGGTGATAAAAGATTGAACAGGGCGCTCCTATCTAAGCCGGCGACTATAATCGGATCAAAGACAGGCCTTGGGTAGTATCTCCGGGGAAGTCCCTAACACAAAAAACAAATTCTTCTCCTTGAACGTCTCACATTAGACGCTACAAAATTTAAAAGTTAATTTACGATAAGGCATTTTAATAATGATCAATGTTTGTTATGTTCAGTGCACGCTCTGATGTGTGTGAAATATCTTTTGTTCAAAACTTTAATTGGAAAGCCTGAAAGAATGGACTCCTTTGGGAACCCTGGTAGTTGACGGGATAATATTAAAATGTATGTAAGGGGAAGTAGGGTGTAGGCCGGATTTAGCTGGCTCAGGATAGAGTCGAGAGTCGTGCACTGTTGTAAACGCGGTAATAAAATTTTTATCACATAAAAAACGAGGAAATTGATCAATTGAGAGACAATGACATCCTTAGTAAGGGCTCTGGTTTATGGAGTTATTTTGTTATAGATTTGATTTTATTGTCTCCTATAACTTACTTCCTACGTTAAACTAATTTTGAATGAGTTAAAACTTTCTGACAAAATTGAAAGGCCGCGCGTTGTAGTTTGTTTTTCGTAAATCGCTCGTATTTGCATGATCGCGTGATGTATCACACAGAATATATTCAAGATAAATGTACCAGGAAAAATCGTGAACCTCAAGTTTTTCATACCCACATCAGAACTTCACACGTCTACCTACACCTTTCTTAGTCTTATTGGCAAACGTTGAACTTGCCCAGTTCGCTTCACTTTGAAGTGAACATTTGCAAATAACATTAACAATTCGTAGAATATTCAGGAATAAGAAGACAAGTGGTACGAGGCAAGATTTGCATATCTTGAACACGTCGCTCAGAAAATGTATGCAGAGACATCTACAAAGGTAAATTTTACAGCGTGCGGTGATTTTGAGATAAGTCTGAAGTGGTTCTAATTAATCCGGTTAACGCCATTGGAGACAAATGTGAAAATTAAAGTAAATCATGACAGAGTACACTTCTGCACGTATCACGTCAAGAAACATATGTTCCCAATCGCTCGGTTACGTGTTTAAAACACTACGAGTAGGCATTATACGTTATGTCGTGAGATTGCTTTGTACGAAGTACGTAGGTCGTCACCTGGAATGTATGTGAACAGCAAGTTGACTTGCCTATTAATGCGAGTTTAAAGTTATCTCTGTTAGCATTCCAAAAATTGAAAGGTTAGCGCGAAGTACATGTAAATAGTGAACCGGTGCATGTATTCCGAGGGTCTTGAGCGCTGTTTACCAATTAATGAAACCCACGCTTTGGTTTTTCTCAGACGCAAGCCTTTCGGTAACTCGTAACCCTAGGCTCTTCGTCTCCGATGACCGATCAGAGTAAATGATCTTCTTTAAAGTATTTTAATAACAATTTTTTCATTCCAGGACTTCAAATGCTCATTACGCGTGGGTTTGCTTCATTGTGTAATGCAGTGGTATTCAACCTTTTTTGTTCGCGTACCCCCAGATATAATTTCTCTTCAACTTTGTACCCCCAAAGTTGTTGGTGTATAATTCAAGTTATACATAGTATATAATCTACATCTAAAATAAATTAAATAAATTACATTACTGATTATTCAATGTTTATCATAAAATAATATATTTTTTTTAAATTTCACGTACCCCCTAAGATGTCTTCGCGTACCCCCAGATATAATTTCTCTTCAACTTTGTACCCCCCAAAGTTGTTGGTGTATAATTAAAGTTATACATAATATATAATCTACCTCTAATATTAATTAAATTACATTACTGATTATTCAGTGTTTATCATAAAATAATATATATATTTTTAAATTTCACGTACCCCCTAAGATGTCTTCGCGTACCCCCGGGGCTACGCGTACCCCAGGTTGAATACCACTGGTGTAATGGTCGGTAAGCAATGACCAGTGCAATATTCTCCACGCATCAAAGTTGGGGCGTGGCTTTCAAAGGTTTTAGCCAAATTCCGAGGCAGGGGTCGTGAACATTTAGGCAATCGAGATTTTATATCTTCCATCACGAACGTTCACAAATCTCAACGGGGCACACGCATGCAAAAATGGTCTCACATTTTGATTGGAAGGTCACACAGACCCTTCGCCCACAAATCTACACTTTATCGTGTCTCTTCCAAATTGCCTTCGCGAAAAGTTTTTGTCCGTTTATGGAGTACTATTGAAAAGTGAAAGAATTCATTGGCGGGTTCAGTTGCCCTCGTGATTTTCACCTCGTCAACAGAAATCAAATCCAGTGCGAAACAGTTTTAATATAAAACTGAGCGCAATTGAATGTAGTAATAGGTTGAGCCATTTGTGGTACAGAAATTCTAATTAGAAAGAAATAATGCTACATGAACATGTGGCACGTATGAATAATGAAAGGTTCCTTGTAGTTATGGAGGTAACGCCACTAGAATTACATAGAAGCTTGCGAGAAGGAATGGGCAAAGATCATTAGTAGAAAATAACTTTAGAAACGAAATATGACGTCATTTGTTATGAAACCGGATACACAGAATGTCCCAAAAAGTTGTATAAACACGTGCAGTGGATTTGCGTTGCTCGAATCTCAATCGACCATCCGAAATTTTGCGTAACTGAATTATGTTAAGTGTAGATCACATTAGTTTACTCTCGTAAACAATGCACAGAGATCGATAACAAGGTTAATATTCCGTATTAAAATGTGTATATATCTGTTTTTACAACCTATATATGCATATGTTAATTCGTATCCGTATATATTCACACATGTTCAGTACATTCGTGTAGGTAGACCTTATGTATCTACTGAGGTCTATAATTCTTATTTGGAACCTTTGAGTAACTATCTAAAGACATTAAACATGAAAAGAATGGTTCTGTAAAGCAGTGGTATTCAACCTGGGGTACGCGTACCCCCGGGGGTACGCGAAGACATCTTAAGGGTTACGTGAAATTTAAAAAAAAAAAAAATATTTTATGATAAACACTGAATAATCAGTAATGTAATTTATTTAATTTATTTTAGATGTAGATTATATACAATGTATAACTTGAAATATACGCCAACAACTTTGGGGGTACAAAGTTGAAGAGAAATTATATCTGGGGGTACGCGAACATAAAAGGTTGAATACCACTGCTTTATACAGTAAAATGGCAGTTATGATTATATTTTGCCAACTTCACTCACAGTTTCAGCTGAGATTCGTTCGGTTTAATTTCTGAGGCCACATAGACAGTGTTCTCACTGAGTGACTTTCAGGTTCTCACGGAGGTGACTATGAAGATGACTGTCTTCTGAGGTGATGACGTAAAGTGCCATCGAAGCTTCGACCTTGTCCTTCCCTCTCCTATGTCTTCACCCACCATTTCGAGTTTTACTTATTCACCGCCCTGACGATGGAGGCAATAATCACCTCCGAAACATCGGTCAGTTCCTCTCAACGTCTCAGAGGGCAGGCATCTTCATTGTGTTAACTTCATTCTCGTGAAGATTGCGAAGGACAGAATGTTTGCCTCTCTCGTTCCTCAGTTAAATTTAAATACTTTCTGTAATCGGTAATTTTAGATGTCCAGAGGAGAACTGTCGACGTCTCTTCCGGCGTACCAACCGGTGAACCACGACTTCTTGGCGATCAACGTGAAGGTAATGTACCTTGTGGGTCAGTGGAACGGTTACTGGCAGGACAAGCGAAATTGGCGCTACTCGGCGTACTTGGGGTACGCCGTGTTCATGATCCTCGTCATGACAGTCCATTTCATCTCTGAGGTTCTGGAGCTCTACGTCAGCTGGGGAGACTTCACCAACTTCGCCAGCACCGCCTGGTTCGCCAACAACTACGGCGCTACTATCATCAAGCAAGTCTTCATCTTGGCTCAGGCGGATCGGGTACGTCTTTTTTTCGTCAATCCAGGAACATTTTGATTTGGAAGCTCCATGAGGAGAAACTGAAAAAGTCAAGAAGTCCTTTCATTATATTCCCACCAGGAATCTGAACAACTCCGCGGAGTCCTGTCTGAGCAACTCACAGTCATTCATCTGGTCAGACATTTCCCACTTTTAAAAATTTAAATGTTTTTGATCATGTTTACGAGCCAGATAAGTCAAGTCTACTCCACGCCCTATTTCTAATAGATTCACTTAATATTATCCTTCCATCAATGCCTAGGTTCTAGGTCTCCCAAATTTTCTCTTTCCTTCAGGTAGTCCGAATAACATTTGTGTGCTTTTCTACACACATAATTTGTTTTTCCATGCGTCAAATGTCCTCCTCTCTTATCTACCATGTTTCATTACCACAATAATATTTTCTAAGAGTATAAATTATTACGCTTGTCAGCCTTCGAATTTGTGTTCCGATCGACTCTCCCGACCTCAGTTGTCGGTTCAGGCTTAAAATAACCCAAAAGTAGCCCACAAAAATCTTCTGCAGATTCAGAGCGTGACCCAGCGGCTGAGAGGTGGCGTACTGTCGAGCGGGTTGCGGTGGTCTAAGGAGCAGGACGAAATCGCCCGAAACACGAACCGGAAGACAAGGTTCTTGTCCATCGCGTACTACGCCATAGCAGTGAGCTCTTGCACGGGTCTAATCGTCATCAGCCTCCGCACGAGCTATCGTCAGCTGTCGGGAGCCGCCAATCTCACCGAAGTGGGCGCCGACACAATGGTAAATGTCTTCTGCATAGATTATTTGGCGTCGAGCAAGGTTAACAGAATGATGATAATTTGGGTTCTGGCTCTGTGTGGACTCATTGGCAGATGCCAACGTATCTGTAGGGCAATTAGTGTGACCAAATAAAGACTGTTCACATGTGTGGAGTATGTGAACGGCAGGCTTTGAACCTGTTGGGGCCTGCATGGCCTGAAGAGAAAATTCTGATTTAAGTAGGCATAGGCGGTGCCCGAATTTATAACTTGTGTTGGGCAAGGCCGTGGTCTAGGCAACACGGAGATTTCCTCCGTGGCATCCCATTCACACACAGAAGAAGGCAATGGCAAACCACTTCTGGATCATCTGCCAAGAACGTATATGAACAGGTCCCAGTCCGAGAAAAGGATGGAAAGATCCTGTTCATATGGACCTGTCGTCAGACAGAACACTAAATAATAATAAGATGAGGTGGTCTAGCGGTTAGAACGCTGGCCTTGTAATCCTGGGGTCTCGGGTTCGAATTTATAACTTGTGTTGGGCAAGGCCGTGGTCTAGGCAACACGGAGTTTTCCTCCGTGGCATCCCAACAATTACTCCATTCACACACAGAAGAAGGCAATGGCAAACCACTTCTGGATCATCTGCCAAGAACGTATATGAACAGGTCCCAGTCTGAGAAAAAGATGGAAGGATCCTGTTCATATGGACCTGTCGTCAGACAGAACACTAAATAAATAAATAAATAGATATATATTGAAGAAGTAGGGTTTGATATTGTTGACTGGATTAATGTGCTTCAAGAAAAAGTTCAGTGCCGAACTTCCGTTAACACGGTGAACCAAATGAGTTTACTCTTAGATTCTCAAGAAGCTCTTTACTGTGCGGAGTTAATTATCAGATTCAAAACCAAACACCTAAAAGGTAGAAAATAATGAATAAAGAAATGTAAATATCCACATAATTTTTCTTCAACTGTGATTAGTTTAATACCTGATACGAAATTCAAGTCACTTTAAGAGTGCATTTAATTGACAGCCTATGTAAGGTATGAACTGTTACAGATGAAATTGTTGCAGGAACTTCCTCTGAGGGCGTGGTTTCCCGTGGACATGCAGAATCCGCAGAACTTTTTGCTTTTATTCGGATTCCAACTTTTCATAGTGGCCGCCGGTCCGATGATAAACATTGGAACAGATACGTTTATTACGGGCCTCATAATCCACGCGTGCGGTGAGTTCCGCGTTCTGAAGAAGTCACTGAGGAACCTGAAGCAGCGGGCACGGCAGCTACTACAGGAGGACACCGGCTGCAGGTAGCAACTGTCCCGAGCATTTCATAGTCGAGCGGACTGAGTACCCGTCTGTCTGTCTGCATTTTCAATGAATCAATTGTTTGTCGAGTTGAGTTCTTTGTATTTAAGACTGTGTTTGTCTAGCCAAAGGTTTCTGTCGCCCAGAGCTCTAATACAAGTAGCTCTATAGTAGCCGTCACCAAATTGTATATTTCAAGGTCACAGCGAAATCGTAGAACGTCGCAACACGAACAATGGATCAGACAAGTGAATGCAGTTCAGAGTTTGCTGTAGCAAAGCTGTGCTGTTGACACAGACAGAAGTACTAATGTGACCTTGAAGCATACAATTTGGCGACGGCTACCATAGTGGCGCTATTATTTTAAAATGAAACAGTGTTTATTTTTATAACTACAAAACTACTGCCCTCTTCCCTATTTCTAGTTGCATGTTACCGACGTCATCTAGTGGAACGGCTTTAAAAATACTTACCGTGTCTAACATTTCGGCAGTTTTGTATTGATGAAATTGTCCTTTGTGGTAAAGATGTTCGTCTGCATTCGTAAGACAGTAGAGAAAAACTGAAATAAAAGGGCACTAAGTCCACTGTTTATAGACTTCCAAGGAAACTTGTGGTTCAATTAGGAGACAATAGTATACACATTTTTCATTAAACTTGGCATGTCCATGAAATTAATTAGGCTAATTAAAATATATTTAAACGAAATTTTCTCCATGCAGTTATTTATAGACGCCAGCAATGATAGGAAATATAACAGTTTAATTCCGGAGCAATTAACATCAAAATTAAATTAAAATTAAATTATTTGGTTATTCCGTCAAATCACAATGTATTTAAAATAAGATAATTAAAATAATTAAAATATCATTCTGTGTTCCATATCGAATAATTGTAAATCGATTATTCGATATAGAACACAGAATGATATTTTAATTATTTTAATTATCTTATTTTAAATACATTGTGATTTGACGGAATAACCAAATGATTTAATTTTAATTTAATAAATCACAATATGACGCAACTACACTATCTTATCAAAATTAAAGTCGATAATAATTAATATATGTTCTGCATACGATGGGTATTTAGTTTTTAAATATTTGTGCATTCTGGATTAATTCTGTCTCATCCGGGTACAAAACATTAAAAATCCCTCCCAATGATTATTTTATTACCGCAGGAAGACAACGTCGAACTGTAAAATATCTCTATCGAGTGTGGCAGTTCCGGAAAGTACAAACCACACTGATAACCACTTCAAGAGAGCAAAGTTTTGTCCAGAAGCCACAGAACCAGCGCATGAGAACGGCTTTCTGAATGCAAAGGCCGACGTGGACTCGAAGGTTCACAAAGCCCTCGTGGAGTGCGTACGTCATCACCAACAACTGCTCCTGTAAGTAATCACCACTGTTCTTCTGCCTGTCTAAATTATTTTTATTTTACGTATAAATATTGCAGGTAACATGTGACATGAATATGAATTACATCTCTCATATTATTTTACAGTTTTCTTCAGATTTGTTTCAGATTTGGAAGACATGTTCAGTTCCATGATGTTTTTTCAGTTCTTATCAATATCTCTGAGGATCTGTCTCATCATATTCCACATTACGATGGTAAATATTTTTATTTTCTCTCCTGATATCAGCGTAACTTACTCGATCTCTGAGACGCAACTATTTATAGTTCAGTTCATTAGAACTTGCTTTATGTTTCACGATTTAGGTACATTTGTCGTCTTTAGATTGTAATAATTATCTGAAATTTTAACTACATTATCTGTGCAGAAGATTGTCTTCTCTTACGTTAGTCTCGTAGAAATTGAACGACCTGAAACGTTGATGAATTTTTACAAAACTAGATGGCTCGTCATCCCAGAAGATGATCACGGACGTGAGAATCTGAAATTTCATATTATCTATGTTTCTGGTCTGCCAAATGAGCGTAATTTAAAGACCATGAAATAGAATGAAAACTTAACATTCTCCAAACATAATTTCTACCTCAGCCAGTTATCGTGGCCATCGGGGTTTCGTCTGAGCTAACCTGCGTATGTATACAACCCCCGTGACCGAAAATCATTGTGGTTCCAGGGTACAGGAACCCCTAAAAACGCAGAGAGAAATATAAAGACATAGAAATTATTTGATGAAAATTGGATGTTTGAACAGGTGTTGAGGAATCACAGAACTGAACAGAACTTTTCTCTTCTAGTCGGACGATGAAGGTTTGGTGCAACTGACATACTTGCAGATACTCTGCGTCTCTTTCCTTCAGGGGCTGCCTTTTTGCTGGTACGGCAGCGATCTAACTTACCAGGTGAATGACTTCAGACGCCATGATACTTAAATTTTATGATTGTCCCTCAGTGGGAATATAATTTTGTGACGTAGCATATGTACAACTCCCGTTTGGTACTCGATTCTAGTCCTGACTACATTATTCTGATGATAGATAAAGAGACACATGTCTCTTCATTAACCAATCTCTAACATCCACAACCTCGACCCTAGATGGGGAAACAGCTGTCAGTTTCACACGCCTGGAGAAAATTCTCTTTTACCCGTTGGACAGTATACTAGGCGGGCTCCAGAACCATCTGGTAGAGATTGAGAAGAAAAGAAATCTCTACCCATGCCAGGAATTGAATCGCGGTCATGGAACCTGTAGTGAGTCACTTCTGTGACTGAATATCCCTGTTCACGCCCCGATGACGTTAACTGCTCTCCTTACACTTTTATCGCGCTGATTAATTTCGGAGTAGCTCTGCAGATTAAGTTCTGTCGTCTTTAAGAAGGTTAAATCGTGTACTGCTGTATGGAGGGATCAGGGTAATGGACGATTTCTTACACACTGCTAGGCGTTACAACCCGGGAGACTCTCGTTCCCTGCTTAGTTAATATCTTCCTTTTTCTGCATTTTCTAGAAATGTTAAAGACTCAATAAAAGAATTATAGTAACGAGAAATGCGTGGAGTCTAAGATGGTCAATCTAAGTCTTGTTATGGGCTCCCAATATGCATTGATTTACAGAGCGAATGTGTGGCTCGCGCCATGTACGAGACGCCGTGGTTGGAAGGACCACTCAAGTTCCGACGATCTCTCACGATAATAGTCACCCGCGCCCAAGCCCCTCTCCGGCTCACAGGAGGGAAAATCTACGTTATGTCCCTGGAAACATTCCAAGCTGTAAGTAGCCAATGTATTGTCTTCCTGACGTTGTGGGTGGAGCAGACAGCCTCCAGTCAGACGGTAGCTCTAAATATATTGAATTAACATTTGCGGACAGACGATAAATAATTGGATAAGAACCCATTTCCGTAAAAAAATTTGAATGTTACATAATTTTGTATATATGTCGGACATGATCAGAAAATGTTAAGTGCGGAGAAAGACATCTTCAAAGAGTTAACCGTAGAAAAAAAAATAATTCGGCTCAGAATAGAATCCGGTGGCGGGCTCTTGCGAATACTCCACAAACCATCGTTTTACATTTATGAAACTTTTTGATTATCTGAATTACCATCAGGTTCTCAATAAAAAAAAGACCCTGCTTCGTCGAGTTATTTAGTTATATTCTTTAAACTTCGCTGTTATTTTCCTTGTAAGTGTCTCTGAATGAAATATAATGTTGCTTATGTGCTCTGAACTATCATCTTGTTCGTCCTGCAGATGATCTACGCGTCATTCTCTTTCTTCAAGTTGCTTCAACAACTCAGTGTTTCGTAGGCGCTACCAGTGGCTGCATCGGCGGAAGATACCGCGTAAATGTCCTTCTGCTGTCCCCTCTTTGACTTTCTTGTGACAGAATTCTTTTAAAGTGCTTTAACAACCGAAGTTCCTCTTTATATCCTGCTTTGAATACTTTGTTAGATGGGAAATGACTCGCAAACCCGGGACCGGCTTGTTGACTTCTTAAGGATTCTGAAGGTGAACCACTATAACCATACTCTTCAGAGAACAGCTGTTATTAATGATTATTATAAATTTAAATAATCCTTTTATATTTTGTAGCCGTCAACAAATTGGATGTCTCAAGGCTACAGCAAAATTGTACAACGTTGTAACACAAACGGGCGAGTGAAGACAGCTCGGTAGTCGCAGAGTAGCGTTGACTTAGAACCAAACGTTAACGCGGGGGTGTCCTTGAAGCATGCAGTTTTGTGACGCCTACTATAGCAACTGCCTAATAATAATTTACTGTTTGAAGGCTTTGCACCAATAGATTTTTACCAGCAATAAATGAACACAGAGAAAAGTTTGTTATGAAAAATCACGAAAACCTAATTTGAAGAATATATGTACTCAAATTTGGAGTACGTATTTCCGTCCGTATTAAGTGTTAAGTGCTTTACTCTTCATTGACACTCAGGCTAATGAGTTTGCTATAGTCCTAGAAAACAATAGTCCTTAAACAGGCCAATTACATCGGAGTGACCAGGAGTAAACACAGCGAAGTACGAGCAATTATAATTCCACTGTACTGTCACTTATTACACGGCTTCACTTGTATTCACTTCATCACTGCGGCGTTCCACCGGAATCCATTAGAACAAGTTGATTCAAAACTACTTTGTATACGCAAACTTGTGCATTTTACTGTTGAAAATATATGTTTTGATGGATTTAAAAGGATACAAATCAGATTGAAATAATAAAATAAAAAATACGATAAAATATTAAATTATTTTTTAATCTATATTATCAGTGTCTTAGAAGCCACGGTGGTCTAGCGGTTAGAACGCTGGCCTTGTAATCCTAGGGTCTCGGTTTCGATTCCCGGCGGTGCCTGAATTTATAACTTGTGTTGGGCAAGGCCGTGGTCTAGGCAACACGGAGTTTTCCTCCGGGGGCTTCCCCGGTTTCTCCGTGGCATCCCAACAATTACTCCATGCACACACAGAAGAAGGCAATGGCAAACCACTTCTGGATCATCTGCCAAGAACGTATATGAAAAGGTCCCAGTCCGAGAAAAGGATGGAAGGATCCTGGTCATATGGACCTGTCCTCAGACAGAACACTAAAAATAAAAATAATTTAGCGTTTTACAATTTTAACTTTTCGTGCAGAATAGTGAAACTTCGAGATGCCTAGGCAACACGGGGTTTTCCTCCGGGGGCTTCCCCGGTTTCTCCGTGGCATCCCATTCACACACAGAAGATGGCAATGGCAAACCACTTCTGGATCATCTGCCAAGAACGTATATGAACAGGTCCCAGTCCGAGAAAAGGATGGAAGGATCCTGTTCATATGGACCTGTCGTCAGACAGAACACTAAATAATAATAATAATAATCAGTGTCTTAATTATGTGGTTGTATGTGCCTGTTTTCGACTTTACTTCGTTAAGGTTTTTATTGTGTGTGTTTTGTTTTTGTACGGTGTTATATTCAACAAAACAAAACACGACATATTAACATTAGAAAAGTGGGACGGCTTTTATTATGCAAAATATTGGAGCTTGAATGTTGGTATTATTGCGTGGCAGTTAAAACACGATGTTCAATGCGATGCCAGTGAAATGATGCTATAATGCAATAGTACACCAAAATAATAAACATCTGGTGAAGTTGTGTAAGACGAAAGAGTATGGCGGAATTATAATTATGCGACAACATATTACAATACAATCCGTGACATACAAATTATTCATAATTATATTGTTACGAAGGGGGTTGACAAAGTGTCTCTGAAATTGGGGCCTCTAACACTCCATTTTTCCGAGCCCCCCAGTTAATACCTGAGTGAATACGAGGTGCGATCGGAAATTTTCCAGACTGCGCGTATAAAAACCCGTACATTGCCAAAGACTTGCCAAAACGGCTACGGAAACCTATGAAATGCTAAAGCAAGCATTTGGGGAGTCCGCAATGGGTCGTGCACCAACTTTTGTGTGGCATTCACGTTTTAAAAATGGCTGAACCTCTGTCGATGATGACGAGCGTTCTGGACGACCATCTTCGAGCACAACGCCCGAAAATGTTACGAAGATTCGGCAGGCCCTTCACGAAGATCGACGTCGTACCATCAACGACTTGTGCGACCTTGTTGGGATAGGCTATGGGACCTGTGAGCTGATTCTAAAGGAAGAACTCCACATGCGACGCATCATGACAACGCGCCAGCGCACACCGCCCTCAAAGTTCGGCAGTTTTTGGCCTCAAACACCATGGCCGTCATCCTGCACCCTCCTTATTCGCCGGATTTAGCTCCGTGTGACTTCTTCCTCTTCCGAAAGATGAAAATTCAAGGGAAGGAGATTTGAGACGATAGAAGAGATTCAGGCAGAATCGCAGATGGTGCTTGACAGGCTGACAAAGAAAGATTTCCAGGGATGCTTCCAGGCTTGGCAGCGGCGCTGGGATCGTTGTGTTCACTCCCAGGGGAACTACTTCGAGGGTGATGGATGAATTTAATACCTGAGATAAGTGTATGGGTTTTTATACACGCAGTCTGGAAACCTTTCGATCGCACCTCGTATAGTAGGATTTTGTGTACCACAAATTCCACATGGACTCTCCTGAGCGCGAACCCGGGCCTTCGTGTTAAGAAACCGGCGATGTACACCGAATGGATTAAATGCGTTACTTATATATACGGGATGCTGCACTGACCATTGTCTAATGATTACAAAATAAGAGAAATTATTATTGTAATCGGCTGACAACTTGATCTGTGGAAATTAACAGCGATTATACTGGTAACTAAGAACGCATTTGACTGTGGACTGGACCGTATGACCTGATTTGCCATCCAGAACTCAAAACTGAGGCAAATGTTTTCAGCAAGGCGCGACCGTTCCGAGCCTCACGTGGCAAGTATTTTGCTCACGGTTGTACCGCTGACATGAAAACGCTCTCTCCATTCTCATGAAGTGTAAATTGACTTTTTGTTCTTCCTGTCGTTACGAATTCAAAATTAATTAACTGTGAAGAACGTTCTCGACTACTGTACGTGCTGATGAAATAATACCAATGTTTTCATGTCAGGTAATAGGTAACGAAAACACACGATGGCTTCGTTAAATGTTGCGAAGATTTCTGCATTGGACCAATTTCTATTAAAGGATAAAATTTAAAGTTAAACTTCTACGTACACAAATTTGTAAGTGGAAAACATGACCAAATGATGTGGCTAAAATAATGTCACGTCGCGTATTAAAACATAAGGCTTAGGTATTCAGGGAGTCCAAGAACACTACGTCCAGGTATACAAGAAATTCAAAGCTGTTTTTTTTTGTATACGGAAGTTTATGAACGTCGTCACAAAAACTTAGCATTGAGTCCTGTTTCTTTTATAATTACCACGTTGTTCATTACAGAGAAGAATTAATAGGAACAAAAAGTTTATTTTCGCTCGAGGCTCCAATATTTACAATTTTTGCTATTCGTTATCAATTACGGAACGTCGCACTATGTTCTAGAGACACCAATTTCAACTTTCTGTCCGAAGAACGGCTGTCATAATTGAGCTTTTTCGTGGTTTTCCTCAAAATTTCCAGCTAAAATCTGGGATAGTACATTAAATGAGCCACGACCACTTCCTTCTTAATCCTGTCCAGTTTATCATAAATTAATTACTGTGTTCTTTGAAGCTATGTAGTCTGGGCGATTGAAATAGTTTTTAAACAAACCAAAAATACAACGAAATCGATGTCAGTTACCGCCGCTAAAAATTCTGGGGACAGAACAAAAACATTTTCAGAGCTTCTTCGTTTTTATTTATTTAAAGACACTTTTTCGGTAACTCAAACTGTACAACGTCGTATATGAAATCTAAAAGTTCTTGACGTTGGTGAGTCATTTGAATAAAAAATTTCTTGGATATTATCCAAAGTCTAGTAAATAAAATATAAAACGTAAAACGACGTTTCGGAGATGGGGCTCTATCTCTGTCTTCAGGTTCCTACTCAGTTGGGCCCACTAGATAGAGCTAATCCCTATCT